AAAACCTGACACTCTTTGAGCTACAAAGCTCATAGCCAACCAGCTGGGCAACAGCTGTCTTCTCACATCTGGCTACTGCATCGCCTGTTTTTTCTGCACCTAAGCTCATACCAGGATGCTGTCGTTGCTTTAAAATCTATGTTTACAAAGTCAGAAATATAAATAATTTACAGTAGACACTTGGTTGGATATCTAGCTTGTAGGCATGTTGTAGACGCTGCTGCTTCTTTCCAGCTAAATAAATCACTACAAGAATCTGGCTGGTTTCCTTGTAAGATTTCAGTGATACAAGCTAAAAATAAGGAAGCAGAATTTTTCCCAACCTGAAAATTGTAAATTCAAAAGGTCTTTTGTAATAGATTCCATTCGTTCTGGGTTAATGGTTAAAAACAAAAAAATGGTGAACCAAAACCTGAGAGAACTTGTGTTGGTGACCTGCAGCAGTTCTTGCCTCCTCCTTCCCCTGCCCACACAAACACTGCGTGTGCAGGCAATACCAACCTCATTTGCTACCTGAGTGGTCATTTTTTATTACTAGATTGAGGGAAATAATTTCATAACCAAATCTAATTTGGGCTAAAGCATTCATTAAGTGGAGAGCTGACCAGCTCATCCCCGATGGTTTAGAAAAGTAGGTATAGCCTGCTATGAGTTTTCCTAGTGTTTTGTTGTTTTTAAATATTAACTAGTGCATGAAGCTTCCTTCTTCCTGATTTTAAATTGAGGTTCACTTTTTGTTGATGGAATAAATTCCAAGAGAGATGCACACCATTAGACGTGTATGTACAATTTGCAGCTTGGAAGTTAAGGTGGAGTAACATGAATGCGAGCGTTCCTTATTTGCAAGCAGAGTTGGCTTCCTTCCTCTTCCTATAGCAAGAATATGTCTTAGGAAGAAATTTCTATACCTGTACTTTAAGCACTTAAAATTTTTCTCATACAAAATTTTATTTGCCACAGGATTGGACATGAAAATACATAGTAAGTAATTAATTTATTGGAAGCTTTCAGTGAGTGGTACAATTTGCAGCTGACCCAAGCGTAGCTTTCTCTTGTGAGGAAGGGAGTGGCCTCATGGAAGAACCTTTTCTTTGGGAAAATACCCCAATAAACATGAGGATGATTCATTAGGGGCGTAAAGGTAATCTTCATCCTTGCATTTATGAACTATACAGTTTGATTTTTAGCTGTAACATTTTTCCATGTACTGTGTAAAAGGCTGTGAAACTGTACGATCTTGGTGCTGTAGAACTGTCATGGGAATTGGAGAATTGTGATGGTTGAGCAGATGGACAAAGCGGATGGGGGGGTTCGGGGCAGATCCCTGTTTTCATTACAGACACCCACTTTTTTAAAATTCTGAGAGTGGTAATGATAATGGGCTTTCTTCTTTTTTTCCCTAATGTGCCGCTGAGCCAAGAAGTATAAGCAGTTACCATCTTCATAGACCTGGGAACAAGAAAACTGTCTTTTATATCTTGTTAATTTTTCAGCGCACAGTTCTGTTGTTGTAGACCTGTTTGAGCCCTGTGTACAGGGCTTTTAGTTACTGAGAGGCCAAGGACAGGCTATGGAAAACATTAAAAGTTTAGTGTATTCAAAGTGGTGCTGATGTTGAACTCGTGCTCACCTGCTCAGTATGATTTGGTGTGTTTAATGCCCATGTTGAGTTTGACTTTTCTTTTGTGTGTTGAATAGAAGGCAGAGTCCTTGCAATAAATAAAATTGCCTCCTCTCTCGCTGAAGTGTTGGAATAACCTTACTCAGATGAAACAGCGTTGTGGCAAACAGAAGGTGATTCAGAGAACTAGACCTGTGCTGATCTCATAGCAAACCTAATTAATCTTTTTTTAATTAAATGTCCCTTAAAATTCAGCATGATAAAAACTGAAGGACTATTTTTTCAATGATTACTTTTAGACTGCGCTGCTCTAACAAAGAAAACTTTCACCGTCTGTTTTCTTGCACGGAAGCGAGTAAGCGGAGCCACCCGGGATGCTGATCATTTCTTCATATACTGCAGCTGCAGAAAATGAGAAACTAAGCGAACAGTTGACAGATGCACTGAGAAGTGAGTGCTTGGAACGGCGCAGGAATGTAACTTGCAGGATAATTTTTCAACTTCAGGTCCTATTTTAGGTGTGCCGGCGTCTGAACGTTCCGCAAACTAGAAAGCGTGGCGAGAGGGGAGTACATCCAGGTCGCCGCTGCTTTACCGCTTGGCTTTTGCAAGTGAAAAAGCAAGAGCCTTTCAGGCTTACTGTGGTTTTTTTATTCCCAGCAGGTGATTGCATGGGAAGATGAGGTCGGGAAGCTGCAATGTTGATCAGGCTATCCGCTTGGCAACCTTGTTCGTGGCAACTTCGTGGAGCTTAGGGTAAATGGAGTATTAGGGCTATAGAAAAAAGAACAAAGGGAAGGTTACTGCTGGCCCTTCTTGGCAGCAATAGCTGGATGCCTTTTAAAAACAACTTCTGTTGTCCTGGAGCTTCTGAATCCAAGGCCGGTTTCTGGCACTGTGATTTTTCTCATGGCAAAAACCGTTGTCCTGTCCTAACCTTGGGGGGAAAGCAAATAAATAAAGGCAATAGCCTCGGCAGCCCATGTCTATTATTGCAGCTAAGTGACTGAACTGCAGTGGGAACAGGACCAAAGGGAAACCTTTTCTTCACAGAGAATCCTGGTTTTTTGTTGGGTGTTCTTTTTTTTTTTTAAGCTAGCATCCACCGTGGTCTGTAAAATGTCTTTTCTAAGAAGGTGTTGGACATTTGGAGAAGGATTTTATATAGTTTATATAGAACTTTCTTTCCTTTGAGTCAACCATGTTTTGAGGTTGAGAGAGAGACCTGAATTCCTAATCTCAAGGTTTTTGGAAGGTCTTCCAGTAGTGGTTTGCTTGTGTTTTAGAGCTCATTTCCCTCTTCTGAACTTCAGGTGTAGTCAAATAGTTTAACACACTTATTTCTCATTTTCTGAAGTGGTCAGTGATGTAAAAAACAAGATATTTATTAATTTTTTTGGCATTGATTATGCTAGTCCAACGCTGTGTTGCTTTGCTGACCTTTTGCTATCTTAAAAGGTGGTATTTCGATTGCGTATTATTCACTCTTGACTTCGTGGACAAAAAGTATACTCCACTGCCTGATGAGATTTTTTTTTTTTTTTTTATAGTTCCAGTGACTAAAGTTTAAAAACTTCCTTGCTTTTACTTTTGCCTTGTGAACTTACTGAAACCTAGAAACAAGTGATGATAGAAGTCATTCAGTGTTTCCGAAGCAGGAAAGCAGTGAGCCTCTGTGCTTTTATTTCCACATGGCTTCTTTTCAAGGCAGGAGAGGATGGTTACCCCATGTCAGAAAGCGTCTGTAGGTGAAGCTCTTCTGCTAGAGATGAGTAAACCCTTTGGGCTGAAGAATTTGCCTTTCAGTCCTCTCTTAAGAGTCAGCTCTGTTTTGATACTGCCTGATTACTGTTATCTGAAAGGTTCCAGGCAGCTAGTGAATAAAATCTCTGCATATTAAGTATCACATCGTAATTTCTGTTGCTTCACCCGCCCGTTCGCGTTTTGTCCGCCCGCGCTCGCGGCCGTTGTGTTGAGGATTAGGGCTCTTGCGGGCAAATTCAGATTGGCCGGGTGGGATGTTGCAACTGCTTTGACTCCGCTGTTAGAAATTACCAGCCCCAAAGCAAGAGTTATTTTCTGTCCTTCTGGTGTTCGAGGCTGCTGGCAAAGAGGCATCTGTGGTGAGGCACAGTGGTAGTGACACCTCGGGGCTGCTGCGGCTTTGCTGCAGCGAAGAGGAGCCCGAGCCTTCTCATTTCAGGGCTTGTTTGCACAAGGGGAGGGAGCCCGCGCCCTTGGGAGCAGCCATTCTTATCTGCAAGAATAATCGTCAGATGATAAAGGGACCCCCGGAGCCAAAACTTGGAGTTTGGAACAGCCTTTGGAACCCTTGCGAATTCTTTTCTACAAGCCCTTGGATGGTGGAGTTGTAAATACCAGTCATCTGTGCAGGACTACGGGGTTTTTTTTCCCCCCTCTGTTTTATTCTTTAAAGCATCGTCAAACTTCAAAAGAAGGCAGATTTCTTCCAACGTTGTCCCTGCAGACTTGCTTTGTGTTATTTACTCTTTCTATATCCCCCCCAAAACATTCATATAGTGTCTGTAGGTTTATAGTGTTTAATATCAGTGCCACAAACATAAAAATCAGGAAATTCTAAATGTTACAAGTTTATATTCAAGATATATTAATACGCCTTTGAGGTTGTTTTAACCTAGAAATTAATGCTAAAAGAAAAAAGATTTTTTTTTTTGTTACAACAGTCCAGAATGTATAACTAGTGGGTGAAACTTTTCTGTAGACACTCATCATCTCAATTTAATAACATGTATTTAAAAATCTATTTCTTGACCTTGTCAAGACCATAATAAAATTTTAATTTTTCCTCTTTGTAGTAATCCTAACCTTTTTTAGTCTGTAAGACTTCATGAGAATTCAGAAGCTGTAGCTTTGGGGGTGTGTGAAGTCTGCTTTATTTCAGCATTTGGGACGGATGATTGACAGTGCTAAAATTTGTAATTATAGTGTGGAATCTTTAACTTTTACTCATTAAACTCATTTCTTAATTATTAGGAAATTGATTCTGTCTTTGAAATTCTGCACTTCTGGAGATGCTGCGCTTTATTCCTTATAACAACAAAGTGACCAAATTGCTGCTGTAATTACAAAATTTGACTGAAATTACTGAATTGTACTTAGCTCTTCCAAAAGAGTTAAAACAGTCCCAGAGCAGCGAGGGAGAAGAGCGAATCTGATCGCAGTCACCATAATTTAGGCCTCTGCCTTTAAACTTTGCTTGATGAGAGAGAGTTTTTATTTTCCAGGAAGGAAGAAGGTAGTTTCCACGCCGTTTCGCATTTGCTCGCTGGGCAGATTTTAGTTTGCTGCGGTGCTACGCTTGTGCTTGGAGGATTATAGTGGTGAGAAGGTGGGAATGATGGCTGAAGCCGGTGGGTCCTCCTGGAAGGTCAAATGAAGCCTTCAGTTAAAAGCTTGGCGCTTTCCTTCTAAATACAATTCTCTGCTAATCTGGGATGAACACCATCCTGGCTCTGGCTCACCGCACGGAGCCCTGCAGTGGCTCTGGCTTTGTGCTGGGTTGACCTGGCAGCAGAGAGGTGGCTTCAGGATGCTGGAGGCAGCAGCGTGGGCGTGGGGCATGGTCTTCCCTTTCCACTGGTGCCAGCTTTAGGGTGGGTGACTTTCTGACGGTAGGTGAGACGCCTTTCAAAAAAGATTCCTGTAGGTATAAAGAGCCGTCTTGATCCAGGATGGCCCTACAGGCATGGTCACACAAGCTGGGTTAGGAAGTGGAAATGAAGCATGTGAGATCTGCAATAGCACTTGAAGGATCAAAAAAAGATGATGGGAACTTTGGTCAAGGTGCAGTTCTACTCACACGGGTTTTTCCTTCTCTGTCATGGCGCAATTCCTTTTACAGCCAAATATGTTGTTCCTTCAGAGCTTGGAGGACCGAGTTGTTGTTCTTCCTCTGCATGGCGAAGAAGGTGGATTTACTCTGAAGAAATAGTTCTGTGGCAGCCACTTAGAAAATTGTTCCTACGTTCTTCTGTTACAACTGGTTTTTTTCTATTTTGTTTTATAGACACAGACGAGGACACGGTGAAAAGGTGTTTTGCCACATTTGAAGAGAAGTTCTTCCAGACCTGTGAGAAAGAACTTGCCAAAATCAACATCTTCTATTCAGGTAATGTGCTTATTTGTGTATATTTGTGGAAAATAAAGCAACACAGAAAGAGTCTGAAGCTCCCAAACTTTCAGAATGACCACAGTGGTCATGCAGTCTACCATCAGGTAATTATAGGGCAAGTTTATGTGGGAAACTGCTCTGGTTTAATCACACATGTGGAGCTAAACCATGGTATTTGAATGGAGAATGGAGGACAGGTGATTTCCTTGCTTTGCAATAGCATCCTACTGAACTTTATGAAGATGCTCTTAAACTTAAGTGGTAGCTTACATATAGGGCACAGTTTCTCAGCTTATCCGTGGTGACAGTCTCCTGTGCGTGTTTTAGGCGTGCTAAGCTCCCTAGCTGGTGTTCCCTGAGCTTCTGCAGGACTAGCTATCACGGGCTTGCCTGTGTGTGGTAACTTGACCATCTTGATGTGTCTGTCAAGTTTTTAAACACTTAACTCTCACTTTAAACTCTTGCAACTTTCTGAAATAAATCAGCCAGTAGCAGTTTGTCACTAGCTGTGTATAAAATCGTGTTTAGTAAATTGAGTAAAAATGTAATAGTGGTAAGAGTAGGGATTCCTAGGGGTCATATTTCAAAGTGCTATTGTTTGTTTTCCCTGAGAAAGTTTGCTTTCCCATCCTGTGTTTTGAAAATAAACTTTAGAATGGGATAATCGGAAATTCACCCTGTAATATCGCTACAAAAGGCTTAGCAATTGTGTGCTCCAGTTCCACCCACCATTACACTTCAGATGGTTTTCAGCCTCTTCTGGTAAGGTTTAAAATGGGTTTTCAACTGGAAAAGTGTTTAAATATGGATACAATGATGCGTTGACTTCTGCTATACTTTCTCTTAACATGTTGATTTATTAACTTGGTGCTATACAGGGGCTCGTGCCGCACAATATGGTAGCCTTTTCTATTTCTGATTTTAATCTGGTAACAAAGACGGAGTTGAATTGGGCAAAATGTTTTAATAACCCTCAGGTGATGACTTTATTGCTAGCAGAATTTGGGTTGTGAGCACGAGAATAACTAAAAGCATGATAGCTGCAGTAACCTGGCCCCGCGGCTCGCCCCTCTTCAGCAGCCATCTGGGGAGGTAGCACTCTTTTGGGCCGGCTGGGCCAGCTCTCCTGGCTCCCTGGAGCACCGGTGTTTTGCTGTGGCCACAGTGGGTGTCAGGACAAGGGGCAGTTCGTAGGTAGAAGCGATATGTTTTATCAGGCCAGCTGGGTTTTACACTTTATAGGCATTTTTCTAGGCGCAATTCGTACGTAACCTGACTCGGAACGCTTGTTCTGTGTTGTTGCCCTGTGAGATCTTCTGTTTCTCTCCCAGGTCTGAGGTAAGGCTTTTATGCTCAGAAATTTGTCTTACTTTTCCTGTGTACTACGAGCTAGACTCTATGGAGGAAGTTCTGTCAATTTAGATGCACAATACAGATTATAATTTTCCCTAATGAGGACCTGCTAGCACACGTGCACCCACATATATGCGCCCCTTCCAGCATTGTTTAAAATGGCATTAATAATACAGGGTAGGGTTTTTTCAACTTGCTGTCATTTCAAAAAGTTATAGGAGACAATACATGTAATTTGAAAATCTCTTGTGATAAGATTAAAATAAGTCTTTTGTTTGCAGAAGTGACGTGGCTTTAATAGTATGGAAACCCTTTATTAGGGTTATTAACATTAAGCTACATCAAGAAATCTTCCATCTGTGGTTCCTTTTCTTGATCATGTCAGAAATTTGCAACGTCGGACCCTGTTGCAACTCCGGGCGTGTGTTGGCTTGGGTTCTGACCCGGTACATCCTATTTACTATAGGCTTATTATACGGCTTGTTACACGCTTGTCTTTACGACAATAAATAGCCTCCATTTTCAAGAAGGCTGAGCTTTCTATTGATCTCCGCTTCATTTCCTCGTCGTCTTCCCCTGCGCTGAGGGATCCTCAGTGAGCCTTGCCGGGGATTGCCACAGCAGGGACAGCCCCGTCCCCGCGGGGCTGGAGCCCCTGCCGCAAAATGCCTTCGCCTTTCGCTGCGTTGCTCAGATTGTCAGCTCTCATCAAACACAGCCTTAATTCCCCAGACCGTTACCCCGGCTCGGTAGGAAGGAGAACTGCCATTAACTAAATCTGACTCGATAAACAGTTTGTGATTATTTGGACTATGCTCAAGAAAATCTATACTCGATTGAAAGAAAAAGAATAGCAGTAAAATTTCCAGATGGTTCCAGTGGAGGGATGCCTGTTCAAGTGCTACGGTTTTATTTGTGGCCAGTTTTGGTTTGTGTTTGGGATTTTCTAGAGGGGAAGTTTGTTGTATTTTAAATTAGCATCATCAGGAGCTGCTTGGGCTACTGTTTAGCTACTGATATTTTTGTGGTTAATTCAGGAGCTGGCTTTATTGTTTGTAGGAAGACTTTAACTTGGTAAGCAAAATATTGAACATGATCTGTACAAGAAGGGAAAGGAAGGAGTGCTAAAAGAGCCTGCCTGAAATGCCCAGAGCCCTGAGCCAGGTAGCTGCGAGCAGGTATGGGCTCTTCCGTTACCTCCTGTCTGGTGAAGCAGGTTTTGATCACAACCATGACCATGGAAACTGGAATTTGGGAGAAAATTTTACTAGCTCCTTGGCGTGATAAGAGTTTTTGGTTTTTTTTTTCCCCCCACGATCCTTACATGTGAACTTTTCTTTAAGCTTGGAAAAGAGAGTCAAGTTAAACAACTTGGAATTGCACAGTTGAGGTGATAACTTCAGACAGTGGTTTTTAGTCAAGATCTAGAAGGATTTTTTGGGCAAAGGTGCTTCTTTATTGCAAGCGCTTTTGTTGAGGTCTACCTCTGTTGGTTTTCGATTTTTTTCCTTAGTCTTTGCTGCGAGAGTACACTTGAACTGAGGGCTCAGTGGGCATCAGGCCACACAAAATGCTGCAACACAAGAGCG